CGTTATGTACGAATAAAATAAAAAGACAATCAACAAAATAAAAATTTTTAAACAAATAACTGCCGACCGTATTTACAGGGTAAATACGGTTGGTAGTTATTTAAAAAAAATTTAAACCCACAATAATTTGGTCTGCCCAGTTATCAAAGAACAACACTATTATTATTATTTTTTGGCCATATTGGCATTGGACTTTGGCAGAGATTGAGGGTACTCACGGTACTTAAGGTTCGAACAGGTGGTTTTGGAGTATTTTGTAGGTTTAATGATTGCACCGCCAAGCCAATGTACTGTTCGACAAAGACTGTGTCATTCGTTGTGATACGGTGGTGAATTTTGAGGACTTAGGTATCAGTGGATTCCTGGCAAGAAGGCTTGTGGAGTTACGGACTCTGCGCACAAGTACCCGCAATAGTTACAAGGGGGAGTTTGGGGAGACCACTGGGCACAGGTCGGAGTGGAGAAAAATGCAAAAACCCAATTGGGCGATTTTGTTTTGGTTTTTCAGATTTATTGATATTTGTTATCTTTGATAGGCCTATGTCTACTGCGCATATTTTAAAGAAATAGTCTAAAAAAAACCTGCTATAAAAGTGTTTCAAGGAAAAACAATTGTCATCTTTCATTTCTACCACTACATAATTCAAAACTTAAAAGGGCTTTTTCTCAGTATTGTACTTTTTTGGCATGCGTGTCGATAAATGCGATCTTCAAACAGCCATAATTTGTCAACAGAATGTTCGATTAACCCAAAAAGGGCCGGGGGGGGGGGGGGGGAACCCACCCCCACTCGACTTTTTCCGCGATGGCCTTGAAAAAAAAAAAATATTTGCGCGACCCGAGCTGTTATGACTTTTTAGCCTCGAGCCTTGCGCATCTTTTTATATCACAAACATAAAAATCGGACCATGGGTCGCCGCGCAGAAAATTTGTACAGCGCTATGCGCCGTGAAAACTGAATTTTTCCATATACGTCGTGTACACAGAGCATAATTACCATATGAATAATTAATTAGCCATAATTCCACAACCCTTTGACCTATAGTCATGAAATTTCTTGGGTATGTTCATGATGAGTTGCTCTATGCATATACCGAGTTTCAAAATTTTTCGTCATTCGATGGCCGTGATCTTGGGGGGGGGGGGACACGAAATCCCCCCCCCCCCCCCCGACTGAGAGATGGTCAAAATAACCCGGCCCTTTTAGGGTTAAAGTGCAACAAACAGTAAATTGTAAGAAGAATGATATTCTCTTAACTAATACCCATAAACTCTCATTTTGACCTCTGCTCAGCTACTGATCATGCATGGAGCTCCAAATTGAATTCCGAGACAATATTTGGAAGTTTCTTTTTATCTTATTCGTACCACAGAACTTCAGGAGACATTGCAAAAGGAATACGCTGGAAGCTATTTCTTTCTGAAAAGGACTGAAAAACCCAATCCACATATTGGACCAGACGTGATTCAAACCCGGGTCAAAGCGGTGGGAAGCAAGGAAAGTACCGCTACGCTTTAAGTGGCTCCAAGCACATTACACTTCCTTTCATAATGATGGAATTGCCCAAAAGTAATATCATGTACCGGTACATAAAACTTGGTAAATCACAAACTAAACCCTTTTAATTTTTTTGTGGGGAGGGGGGGGGGGGGGGGGGGGGGGGAAGGAAGGGGCCAAGGGGTGGGTAAGGTTAGCTAGAGAGGAAGTTTCAATTATAACAAATGAGACAGACTATAAAAAAATCAACAATAAAATTCCCCCCAGACAAGAAGTTAATATGTCTTTTGATTAATATTTTTGCCTAAATTGTCCGTGCAAGTACATGTAGCTGTTTACCTAAGCACGTTGGAACAATTCGATATCAAACCCTTCTGTAATAGAAATCTGTTTGTTCAATTTTTCTTTAGCTCTGGAACCGTACAGATGAGCAAACTAAGTCTCCAAGTTTTCAAATGACAGAAAGAAGAAAAAAAACAAAAGAACACTCATCTATGGACTTCAAAACAATAACGAATTTGAATGGTTTGTGCAGTGGGATGAAATCGGGGTGGTTAACTCTTGCAGCCACGATTAGAAAACCTAGTCATTCCCATCACCACGGGTATTACAAAAAAAGTTAGATTTGGATTATTAAACATGTTAGATGCTACAGGTTGTTGAAACTCTTAAGACAGTCGTGTTTAATCCGACGAGGCCCCCAATATTCAAGCACGGCGCTCGCTAGGCACTATGAATTCCAAACCACCCAGGAATTAGCTTTCGACCCCTTGAGCAATTGATTCGCTCCAGGCTGTACAGCTGCATGGTGAGGCATTCGCCGCGCAAGCCGCACGTGCACGCGTACCAAGACGTGTAAATGTCAGGTGTAATATAAACATTCATATCCTCCTGATTCTTAGCCATTCAGAGTGCTCCGTCCAATTTTGGTAGCATTTTCTATGCCTTGTATACAAACCGGGGTGCAGATTATTCAAGTACAGTCAAGTCTCGTTATAACAAACTCGTTCGGACCTAGCCAAATTGTTTGTTATATCAGAATTGTGTATTAAGAGGAACATCAGTCCCATTCATTGTGCACATACATTTTTGTAAATGCACTGTCGACCAAGGCTTTATGTTTGTTAATGTATAACCAGAATTTTGTATTAACAGAGTTTGTACTAACGAAAGTCGACTGTATACAACATGTATGTAATTAGAATCGATGTACATGTACACTTATATGGGGCCAAGGATGCAGGAATCGTTCCCACTTGTTATTATACCGTGTGGTTCACGTAACCCCAGGAAGGTACACGGTAGTCAACGCCGGTGGTATGATGCCGTACAAAATGTACGCGGCAGCGCAGGCCGACTCAGCCCAGCCGATTACCGACTTGATTTCAAGTCTATTGAAACTCTAGACTTTGAACGCTGGCCAAAATGGATGCACTGTCCGAACTCTGAATCCATGAGAATGTCAGTGTTCCCTCCCCCCCCCCAAAGTTGTACGCAAGAAAAATGCAGGCATCAAACATGTCAAAAAAGGGCAAAGAGGGTCGTTGAAAGTAATGAGATGTTTAACGAGAGTGTAGGGATGGCTGTGCACATGTAGGGAGCAGTGCCAGGAATGGTGAGGGTCACGGTGGTGATGTAAAGTCTGGAGGACCCCTGATTTTTTGCGCTTCACCAGGAAATGGAACGGATTTAACAGGATACACTTTCTGAAACACAATTCAGCTTTTTTGGAAAACACCTATATTGTACAAATGTATGCACAAAACGAAATAGAAATTGAATTACATCGTATTTCTGTACACGTTTTCAAATGAATCATCATACACGGGCAGGTTTGTTTCTTTACATTCTGAAGTGAAAGTGTTTGAAAGAAAACTATGTTCAGTCGTTTAAATAGTGAACATCCTCTGCATGACACATGAAGAAGCAGCAAATAAATTTTTCTTGCACAATTTTTGGATTGAAACAAAATGCACTTTACGCTCCAGTGCACACCTTGGAGTATTGAAACATACATGTATACATGTATAGGCCTTTTCACACTACGAAAAATCTCCGTGTTGTGCACGGGTCCCGACACGTGTAAGCTAGACTGACCTTTTCACACTACGACATTTGAACACGACACTGACTCGTATAGAGCACTCGACACGTGTCGAAACTAACCCTGCTCGGGAGGTGGGTTGAGAACTCTCGACCCGTGTCGAGAATGCCGACACGTGTTGAAAGCCATAGTATGAACACTTCTGGGTTACGCTCGACCCATGTACAACCACAAATCGATTCATCGGACAGGAGTACGAGTACGATCGAGTGCGTGCATGCAGCATCACACGCTGTAGTTGTTACTTCTTAGCAACGATCGTTTACAATAACCTTTGACCTGCTGCCCTGCTGCGCCACCACCGGTGTGATAGGAAAATCGGACTCTATGAAAATCCGACACCTTTTCCTTTTTATTGGTTAAACCCTTTCACGTGACTGGTCCCTCTCCTAATTACCTTTGCATGAGCATGCGCAATAGCACCAATGAGTCCGTATTTCATAAACCTAAATTCACGCTACACCTGCCGACCGCGCTTGCTTTTTCGTAAGCACTAGGCGGCCGACCACATTCGGTTCTTCGTGCGTTCTTCGCATATAATTTCGATGGTGCTAGAAGTTCACAGAATATTTTATCTTCCGACGTAAAATGGGGCCCGAATCAGAAAAAAGACTGACATGAAGTGCAGGTCCGTGGTTGGGCTGACCATCCATGGAGCTATAAAACATGTGTAGGGCGGTGTTGCGTTGAGTAGTGTGAAAACGTAGTGAAATTGAACCGTGTTGAAATTGTAAGAAGTCGACACGGGTTGGAACCGTGTAGATTCCGACACGGATCGAACGTACATACATGTAGTGTGAAAAGGCCTTATGGTTTCGGCAAAAATATCAGTATCGCGAATCAGTATTTGTAGATCTGGCTGTTTATCAGAAGTTGGCTGGAAAATTTTGCCTTCTGCTATAATCGAAATTGTTCGGCAAAAATAATTCCGGCGCGAAGTGGTTAAATGCGCGGAGTCCACAGCTTTTAGACATTGTTAGCGACAGCAGGCTAGAGCGTGAAATAAAGTGAACCGTAAAGTTTCAGTTCTGCACACTGTGTAGCAAAGCTCCATGTTATTTGTCAGCACTCTAGAGCCACGTGTTCTTAAATGATCACTCAACCGTTTACTCACAATAGTCTGTAAAAAGACCCCCCAAAGCAAATTTGACTGTTGAAATTCTAAAAGCTACATGTAAGAGAAGGTGCAACTGGTTTATTCTTTGAAGAACAGAAGTGCTGGGAAAAAATATCAGGAGAGGCCAAAGCAATTGTTATAATAGTTCAGGTTTCAGTTTAGTATAAAACCACCCAATTGCCGCAAGCATGAACTAGGCTTTGAGAGTTAACCATCCGAAGCTACATGTACGAACAAAAACAAAAACAATTCAAAGTGATACATATCTCCACTGCTCTAACCTTCTTGCCAGCCCGAGTGTTCTTCTGGACAGAAAAGAAAAAACATAATAATAATAATAAGCATGCAAATAAATTGTACCGGAACATTTACACAAATATCACAACAAAAATATTTATTTCGAATCTCATCAACAGATAGGCCCTACAGTACGATTGTCACTTTCTCATATTCTCGCACTTCAACTCAGAAACAAGCCTGTATCAAGAAGCACTGGCACTATACTGTACATGTCTACTCTGATAACTTGCCGCAGTGAGCAATATGAAAGGCCTTGCTGGGCACCACATCACATTAGGGTGCGCTGTTCATGATACACATGTGCATGTTACAATGTATGTATACCGATTACTTGCACCTCTTCACATCAACATGTTTGAGTACTGTAGAATGCATTTTGGTTGATGGGAAGTTCGCAAAAATACCTCAAAATCCGCCTTTTTTGTATCTCACCACCAAAGGGTTGGGGATGATCCCATAGGGCCCCCCCCCTGTCAGAAAGTGGGTTGGAAAGACCCCCCCCCCCCCCGCCCCGGAATTTCGCCCCGGAATTTCGCCCCTGACTGAGCTACATTTGTACATTATGTACATGTACATGTATAATACATGTATCCACCATGAACTGTATAAATTCAATCTGATAAATGACACTGCTTGATAAACATAATAAATTCATAAATGCCTCCTAGCAGAACAATGTACACATTTCATTCGCACCTTAATGGTACATGCAAGCGTACCATACCGGTACCAGCACATGTACAAGCCCATATACTGGCTCAGATTGGTTATTACAAAAAGGTGTGCCTTCATAACAAAACATTTCAAAACGAATCATTTTTCAATATAATTGAAAGGCTTTAGTTTCATTCAGGCTCTGAGGCAAGTGGAGTAAGCCGCACATAAATGGTTAATGGTACGTACATGTATACACATGCATACAGAATGCACATGTAAAAGCTCGCTTCCTAATATCCTTGTATACTTTTTAAACCTTTCCTTACAAAAAAAAGAGACGATACACAGCACAAGGACTGAGTTGAGTGTTAACCCTAACCTTCCTCAATCCTCCTCAATCCTCCTTGTGGTTTTGGAGGATTTTGGAGGATTGAGGCTGAATGGTATTTTTTTAGATAAGGATTTTGGAGGATTGAGGCTGAATGGTATTTTTCAGAAAAGCATTTTGGAGGATTGAGGCTGAATGGTATTTTTTTAGATAAGGATTTTGGATGATTGAGGCTGAATGGTATTTTTTCAGAAAAGGATTTTGGAGGATTGAGGCTGAATGGTATTTTTTTGGATAAGGATTTTGGACGATTAAGGCTGAACGGTATTTTTCAGAAAAGGATTTTGGAGGATTGAGGCTGAATGGTATTTTTCAGAAAAGGTTTTTTTGGAGGATTGAGGCTGAATGTATTTTGAGGCAGGACTGCCTGACGATTTTGAAGGATTGAGGTGCTGGGTACCCTTCGTTTGAACATAAGTGCAACATTTTTGGATGAGGAGGATTTTGGAGGATTGAGATGAATGTATTTTGAGGCAGGACTGTCTGAAAATTTTGAAGAATTTAGGCACTGTTGTAAAATTTGGGAGGATTTTGGAGGATTGAGGATGGTTCCTAGCAAAAAGGCCTAGGGGGTTAGGGTTAACATTCTGGATTTCAACCTTCCATCCATCTGAACACACCCATCACTAACTGCACGCTTAGCAACATTGGACATCTATTGTACATCGTGGACGCACTGCGCTTGTTTCTTGGCAACCTCAATAAAGTATTTATATCGATGGCATACAGTATGAGGCTTTTTGTGTCACAGACACAAGTGTGAAGCATCATCCAATAATTGGACAGGGGTCAAGTTGAGGTCGACCTCGATTAAAAAACGTGTACAAAACCAATGGGAGCTGTTGCAAAAAAACCAAAAGATCAATGAAGATCAATGAAGAGGAACAATAACAAATCCTCGATTTACACCCATAAACAAACATCTGCGTGTGTGGGGGTTGACATGTCTGATGCATAATTCACAACGATCAAGTTAAACCAGGGTACATGTACTTCTGATACTGGGAGTGGCTACATGTACTTTAGCAGCCAGTAATCCTGGCTTTGCTGCTGTGCGTGTTCACTGAGCCATACTGTTTCTCACAGAGGCCTCAAGAAAATCTGACACCTTTGGCACTAAATGGAGATGTTCTGCAACACACAGGGTATCAGGACAGGGTCACTTACCACATTGTACTCATGTTATTACACCTCACCGTGTTATTCTAGGCCCCAAAAAACCTTGAACAGTTGACAATGGATGTCCAATGTGAACTGTTCAAGGTTTTGTTCATGGTCAACACACACTGGTAGGGTCCATTATGGGGTCTTCCAGTGTGCATTGACCAATCAGATCATGATGTTTGGTCAGGTGACAGCAGTAGCTCAGACAAACTTGGTCACGTGCACCGTGACTGGGTGAGAAATGCACTCACAAAAAAAGGTAGGCGGGGTTTATGGCAAATTCAGAAACAACCATTTACCATCGAGGGTCAAATGTTCATGTAGTGGTGTATACTAGAAGGGTTTTATGGTGTATTCAGAAGAGCTCGGCCAAAAATTTGGCCTTGGATGCTTGATGAGGTACATGTCAACTGCGTGTACATTATGTGGGAAAACTTGCACCATTGTGCAAATTATGAAATTATAGATTCTTCTAAAACAAATTAGCAGTTTTTGACATCTTTTGACTGCTATGGCCACATGAACAATGTGCACACTTCTGCAGTGCTTTCATTGGCTTGGAGTAAAAGCTCCCTACATGTATTCCCAAGACATTTTTTTTGCCAGGAACCTTTGTAGATCCCCAAAAATGATCTAATGTGCTTTGCAGCAAAATTATGACACATGTCCTTTTTAAAATATCTGATGTCTGACCGATGCATATATGTCACTCTCCAGATTCCTGTTGAAAGTTGTAAAATTAAAATTATGACACATGTCCTTTTTAATTTTACAACTTTCAACAGAAATCTGGAGGGTGACATATCGGTCAGACATCAGATATTTTCTATCTTTACCTTGTTATTTGTATTAATCCAAACAAAAATAAATGACATATTGGCTGGGCCATTCTTCTGCAAAATAAAGTTGGACAAAAAATGTCCAGACATGTTCTTTTCAAGCCTTTTCTACACTTTAAATAGGCCTGTTAGGCCTAAAAGTCAGTTAAAACTTAAATCCTACATCATATCACGAAGGAAGACAGATTTTACATCGAAAAAAGTACACTCTACATGTACAGTCTACCCCTAGAACTATGGGTACACGTAATACCCATAGGTAGACATATCAACGCGAACATGCTGTATACTCCACGAATAATATGGAAGTGAGTTTTGGAGCGGCCGCTGTATATGTGTACCCCCGGACTATGCCCAGTACTTCTTGACACACTCAAGTTCATTTCGCTAACAAGCATAAGGGTTGAATCGACCCTGATGGTGCAAAAAAATGATGAAAACAGTCCCCTTTCCGTACCGAAGCTACAGCTCCCAGACCAAAAGGCTATGACGTCACGCAAACAACGCTTCGCGTGCACGTTAAAACGTTAAAACTCAAGCTGTAGCTTCGGTACGGAAAGAAGCTGTTTTCATCATGTTTTTGCACCATCAGGATCGATTCCACCCTTATACTTGTTAGTGAAATGAACGTGAGTATGTCAAGAAGTATTGGGCATAGTCTGGGGGTACAAATATACAGCCGCTGCTCCAAAACTCACTTCCATATTATTCGTGGAGTATACAGCATGTTCGCGTTGATATACCTACCTATGGGTATTACGTGTAATACCCTTAGTCCTAGGGGTATGTACAGTCATGACAGTTTGTGACCGATGATGAACATTTAAAATTTACTGTGGGTTAATAAGGTGGCGAATTTACTGCATTGTACAATGTTAGCTGGAGATCTCTGTGTAAAACAATCATGACAATGCGGAATTCTATTTCTAATACACTATTAGTCGCAAATATTTTTAATGAATCGACTGCATGCATCAAGAATAAGCGATTGGGAAAGATTTCCACAAGCGTACGCCACTAGTTTTTCCTTGCAAATGACTTATCAACCATCAGTTGAGTGAGTTTCTTCACTCAAACAGAAGCTAGACATAAAATTTAAAAGTGATGTCACAAATCATTTGTAGTATCGTACCAAAATAGCTATGGTTCAACATTTCACAAGTTTTCAACCATGTCAACTTGCTGTGACCATGGACATCACAAATAGAATTTGCAATCGTTCCAAGTATAAACGAGCTCTTATTTATGTCACGTAATCAACCCCATATAATTGTACCCACCTCTCCAGCATTCTGCAGGCACTCCAGTATAGAAAAGTTGTTTCTAAGTGCATTTTTACCGCATAAATTTGCAACATCGTCATGGCAGGCAGGACTCTCGGAAATCCTCATGGGCCGATTCGGTCCAAGTTTCGGCTTTCCTTGTGGTTGCTGCCCCCCTTGCCATTGCCCTTGTGGCTGCTGACCGACTGGTTTTGGGGCCCATTGACCCTGCCCACCCATGCCACCGGGTCCTGCTCCTGGTCCTTGACCTGGCAATCCCACGTTTGGTCTTTGATTTCCTTGGTCAAACTTTTGATTAGGATCAAATTGTCCGGGTGCAGGCTTCTGAAATGCTCGCTGTCCCGCTCCCAATCCTTGTCCAGGATTTATTCTCAATTTTTGCTGTTGCTGATATTGGGGTTGTGCTCCATTACCGACACCGGCAGCAATTCCGCCAAGAGGGCCCTGGCCCTGCCCCCCGGCCACAGGCGCAACGTCACGCTTCGTTTGTTGCCAGCCCGCGGCCGCCGGAATCTGGCCGGCCCCGGGGTCATTCCTCACGCCATCTTGTTGGCCAAAAACCGCACAAATCGAGGAAAAGAGACACAGTGTAGTGTACGTTACCAGGAGGACACGTAGATCGGACGCCATCTTGGGCAGCAGATATTACATGTTACGCTATCTGTACTGGAAACGAACAAAAATCGCACAAAATTATCACGATTCGCGACACGCAGTGTACAACATGCAATGACATGAATGATGGCGTGGAAGTGATGACGTCCTCCTTATTTTCCTAAACTTGTTCAAGTCCCTTATTCTGATCACCTGCAAGTCCGCTTTATTAGCGCCCTCACACGGTCCAGCCCATAACGTAATGTAGAACGGGTGGTCGTCAAAGTAAAAAAAATAATATGTATTACTATTACTCACTTACAATTAAAAAACAAACAAACATTTTTTGTGATGGGGAATAATTTTTCATGTATTTCACAACCAAACGACGGTAATCCTTATCTTTAGGACACCTCTAATTTCACGAGTTCTGTTCAAAACTGACTTTTGCAGATGACTGTCCAGTACCAAAGTGACCTTTGCAGGCTAAGCAGTCTTTTTTCTTCAGATAAACTCATGTTAGCTGTCATATTGAAAGCACTTTCAAAGAAAATGTGACTTTCCTACCTTTTTTGCAGTTCGCCATCTTGCTTTTTAAATATATTTTCTGTTTGTCATCGTCGTATTTAACCCCTCATAAATCAAAGCCCAGCCCTCTTCCTACAAAATTTAACCTGCTGATATTTAAGAAGATGTCGTTGCAAGTTGTTCAAATGTGTCAAGAAACATCTGAATGTGACTTTTGAGTGTCATTTAGTCAGCTGTTTTGGTGAGTCTTTTAACCTTATATAGAAACGGGGTCCTAAAAGTAAGGATTACCCAAACGACAATGTCTATAAACAAATTAAAAAGTGAGCCAAATATAATGCATTGCAATGTTATTCTCCAAACTGTATACAATTTGTATTACATATTTACAATGTCATAATGAGGGGCCCCAAAACCAATTCACAGCAAATACCTGACTCATACCAATGACCAATGATGAATCCCGAGGCCCGTGCAGTGGGATGGGGCAGATAGCTAGGGGGGAAAAATTGATGATAGCACGGCATTTGGCATACAGAGTAATGACTATATTTCATATATAGTCGTGTTCCCTAACGTGGCGCACTTCGAAGTTTACCCAACTTTCCTCGTGTAGTGTTGCCAAACCTCTTTGTTGATAAACCTCAAATTCATGCAGTGAAATGCTGGTACTGTTACCTTATTAATGCATGCTATTTAACCTCTGTGAACAATTTCGGTTTCATAAAATTTAATCCGAAATGCAAAAACGGTCGCGTCCGGAAATTGGGCACAAATTGGCGGAGTGTTCCCTAACGTGGCGCACTTGAATAAATCTCAGAAAATTCCAAATTAACATTTAAGAATTTCTGTAAACTTGATAAATTTTGATAAATCATTATTATCTTTACTTACAAACCCAGCCAGATGTTTGTCAGAAAATTATTTTCTTATTTTTCTGGGCATTTTCAAAGGGTTCACTTTGCACTTGAAAATAAAATCGGAAAATCACGCCAAAATGATTTTTTCTTTTAACTTTGTAACGGGTAAATAAACTCGCGATTTATGAACGGGAGTGTTTAGAACTTGATGAAATTTCACTTTCTGTGAAATTTCAGTTAAAACTTTTGCTCTAGCTAGGCGCTACAGGCGAAAAATAAAAGTGCGCCACGTTAGGGGCCGCGCCACGTTAGGGTACATCAACAATATACGTCGCCATATGGGCGTCGCCAGGAGGGACGGGCCCGGGCGTTCCCCCCCCCCCCGGAAAAGCAGGAGAAAAACAAGGAGAAAATAAAAAGAGAAAGGAAAAAAAGAGGTGCGAAGTCATATCGCTGTTGATTTCATGCAATATTTAATTGCAATGAATGCACAAAAGCGGCTCATCTCCAACCATTGCCCTCTGACCCCGCCTTAAGGGTTCATGCAATGTGTTTTTTTAATGCAATCCTTCAAAATCCACCTTTGTATCCCATTTAATGTGATTTTCAATTTTCCGTTTTGCCGTATTTACAAGGTTCATGTATTTTGGTGCCTTTTTGGATCTTATGCTAATGTGGGGAACCACTGAGTCCCAGAGGACGCCCCTATTATTCATACATTGCATGCATTGCGCGCACAGCAATCTTGAGCTGGAAGCAGGATGTTGCTCGGATATTCAAAAACAGTGACCACTGCACTATTATTATTATTATTATTATTATTATTTATTCGGCCAACAAATGAACAAAAGTACAATGACAAAGCAAATATGAATTAAAAAGTAAACAAACATTGGAAATTGAAAAGTATGACCAGACAAGACTGAAGAATGCGAGTAGGAATGGGTCGGGGAGAGGGGGGGGGGGGAGGGGAGGGAGGATGGACAGTTTGACAGGGGAGAGGAGATAGAGGGACAGAAAACAAAAACAATAAAACATTCCAAACCGGCCAGGGTAAACAAAAGTGTACTAAAACACTGTAGCCCTAAGGCCTGCCAACCCATGCTCGAAATGTCTACACAAAAATTAAATAGAAGCAGAGGAGCTGTTCTTAATACCTGGCATTGGGGGCTTGTTATTTCCTTCATATTTATGGGAGTATGGAGACTCCCATTAATTAAACCAAGTGCTGAAGTAGAAGGAATTCTAAGTGGAGAGAGTGTCATTTATACTGGTCAGTCTCAAGAAGAAGAAATTCTCCACACATGGTGACGAGCAACTATAATCACCAACCCAAGGCTCGCACATCGCAGTACAGTTCCTTACACTAATGTAATTCATGAGCAAACTGTGATGTCATTTCAGGCAGAAATCTCAGTCTTACATGTTTTCAGTAGTACAAAACCGTTGACGGAATTTTGGATATTTTCGCAGTCCTAGGTTTTAAATTCAATACAATTGATAGACGTTGATTTCAGTCAAGCATTTTTTTATCCGTGGTGACAAAAATGCTTTGTGGTGGTGACCACTATTTGTGTGGCGCGCCCTCTGTTGAAAGAAAATTAAAGCTGAACGAAAATTAAAGTGACCGTTGTGCAGGTTTGTCGGCCATGTGCAAGACCACGTTTTTGTTTCTCGCGCCCTTTTTTTGACAGTTAACAAAAGTGTACGGGTGATATTTCCCTTGCAAACTATAGTGAGACGAACTGAAATTTCAATTGAATGAATCAGGTACTTCTTTCTCTGCACAACGAATGTGTTGCTTTTGGTTCCATGAAAGTTGGCTTTCTTTCGGATTGTATTTTTCGCGTTTAAAACACTAGGCCTATATTGCTTGTTTTGTTTGACGATTTTATGGTCATAGGTCAACTGTAATAACAGGATATACACGTCACTTTCAAGTTATATAGGTATTTAGACAAGTGATTTGAATTTGGGGTGTGAGGTTTGTGTTTGTATGTACCTCCGGTACCCGCAATTTGATAGGGTACGCGGTTACACGTAATTCCAAATTTTAAACGGGGCCACCCTGGGACGCCGACTTGGGGGGGGGGGGGGGGGGCATGTGCCCCCATCGATCCCCACCCCTCGTTACGTCAATCATTCTTTAAATCATTTTAGCAAACCAGTGAAATGAAAGTCTTTGTAACGTTCGAAAAGAACAAAATATATACCTCCATTTAGGCCAAAAAACAAAAAAATACTCGGTCTCTGGTCAGCGCACGCGTCGATTTTAATCATGCGCGTCAACCTTTTTTCTTCTTCTTCAAATTAACACGGAAGCTACAACAGCGCCCTCTATTGCCGCGCCTCCTCAAATTTGTGTACCAAGGAGCACCAAGGAATGGGGAAATTGCACCAAGGCAAATGATAAAGGGCACCAAGGCAAATTATGAAGGACATCAATGTATAATGAGGACACAAAAAAAACAAAATAGTACCCACCTTGTCTGTACAATACAAGCTTGAAAAAAAAACCCAGCCACCCCCCCCCCCCAAAAAAAAACACCGCATCGCCGCATCAATTCCGGAACTTCGGTCTGACCAGAGACCGACTATTTTTTTTGGCCTTATATACACGGAAGAATTTTTTTTCCAGTTTCGTTTAAATGGTAATATTTTTCGAACGTGTAGGGGGTGATGTGCTATTTTGTGTTTCTTCGTGTAGATGGTGATATGAGGCGATTACGATCAGGTGGCTACGACCCAATTGTTGACAAGATCATGACCAACTGGTCCAAAGCCCCATAGCTCTATATTAGAAGGGGTGACACGTGAAACTCTTTTATGAAGGGTTCCTACTTCGCATAAATCGTAAATACCTACCGTGTAATTGTTCTTAAAATAATGTGGGTATATATATATTTTTTGAAAAGTATATTTTGGTGATTCTACTTACACATCGTTACTTCAATAACATTTTCTAAAGCAAGTGACTGGATAATTATTTAAGGACATAGTAACGATTGAAAACGGTTACTGTTATACCCTAAAGTTGCGCACATGTCTCCGATATCATCAAGTAGTCTTGCCAAACCTTAGTATTTCGGAGAGCTTAAAATTCGCTAAGTTGCTTACTGGCAAATTTATCCTATTAAAAATCTATGGAAACTCATGTGAACATGATAACATCGTGCTATTTAGCCCAGAAAACAGGGATGGTGGGGGGGGGGGGGACGAGGGTCCGTAAATTGGGCTCAAAATAGGTGAAGGGTTGCCTAACGGGGAGACTTGAACAAGTTCAAGGAAATTCCCGAAAAAATATGGGGAAAAAACGTTTTGACTTAGACACAATTATTTTAAACAACAATAATCTCTTGAACTTGATCAAGTCCCCCAGGCAACCCTCAGCTTAAGTTTTATCTCAATTTATGGACACCTCATTTTCCCCTCTCTTTTTCTGGGCTTAATATCAAAATGTAATAATTTTCCAATGATTTCCCATTTATTTTTGTTAGGGTTACTTTGCCAGGAAGCAACTTTGTGAATTCGAAGCTGAACAATGCTGAGGTTTTGGCAAGAGTAGACCATACTTCAAGATATCTGAGGAAATGCGCGCAACTTTAGGGTCAGGCCTAATGGTAACCATTTAAAAAAATCTTTATTATGTCCTCATATTCATCAAGTCTCTGATATGCTTCAGAAAATGCTATTTAATCAGGATATTTAAGTAGAATCCCCAAAATATACATGTACTTATAAAAAAATATTTAAATAAAAATATATACCTAAATATGGGAAATATATTATTAACTTACACAGCAGGTATTAACGATTTATGCAAATTAAGGCACCCTTCCCAAAAGAATTCAGATTTCACCCCTTCTATAATATCTTTTTTAGGACTATCAGAATCTATCTGCCAAGTTTGGTGTGGTCACGATTCCGACCATATTCCACCTGACTTTATTAGCAGGTTGTTAATTAATTGCACAGTCATAACAAGTTGGTTCAGCCATAGGGCTAGGACCCATTTTCAGCCATGGTGCAGCGCAGTGTCACAGTGAAAAAAAGTCTTGTGACCTATTATTTACGTCATCATACAACGTTGGCGTAATACATAATACGTACGAAATACACAATGTGCACATTGGATTTGAGACGATGAGGCAGGAGCCAGACTTGTCGTTGATCGATTCATTTTAGTATCGATTCTTTTGGACCATGAAACCTACTTGTTTGTACGTGCTTGTACATGTTATGTACCACGCACTTTATTCGATTCCTAAAAAATACTGAAAAGAAAAGCTGTTTCGATGTATTTGTAGTATCGACATAAGCTGCTATGACTGTACAAATTACGAAGTTTGTGTTGACTGCTGACGGATGACGGAACTCGGCTTCGAAGGAAAGAAATGTTCACTTTGTGTCAAGATAAACGACCAATCTGCAGGTAATAAAAGAGGCGCCTTTGGTAAAGATGAAGGTAATTGTTCACGGCCATTTAGTGTGAATTGATCATTAACAGGGAAATATTTTTTTTCTCACAACCAAAATGCCCTGCAACATAAAGTGCAAGTGCTACTGCATAGACATAGTGCATGCTTAGCTGGAGTTAACCAGCCCTGAGTTTTATCATTGGGTTGTCATCTAGGGCTGGAGCAAGTTTTTCTCGTAACTTGTAGTAAAGGCAAATATTTTTGGAAAATGTTCAATTTTGTCCCCGTTACACACTAATTGTAACTGCAACTCACCCCAAACTTGCCTGGAATAACCATTACATTTACACAGGTCCTTGAACATGTTGAAGTAAAAAACGATCCACGATGAAGATTCAGCCTACAATTGCAGTGAAAACAGGAGGAATAAACCGCTAACCTGACAACCTTTCAGGCATGGCCAGGACCGCAATTGGTTTGTGCACAAAAAAAAATTGTGTACAATGAATGGCGGTCGATTAACAGGCACAGAGAGCGATCGCTGTCAACTACTCGTTTTTGCCGGCTGCGCTGGCTGTTGGCGCATGACGTCACGCGAAAGCGTAACACCCGATGACTGTTTCATGCACTAATATAAGGTTTACCACTCGCATCACAGCTTTGGTACTGGAACCGCAACCAATAGTGCATGAAACAGTCATCGGGTGTTACGCTTCCGCGTGACGTCATGCGCCTACAGCCAGCGCAGCCGGCAAAACGAGTAGTTGACAGCGATCGCTCTCTGTGCCTGTTAATCGACCGCCATTCATTGTACACAATTTTTTGTGTGCACAAACCAATTGCCGTCCTGGCCATGCCTGAAAGGTTGTCAGGTTAGCGGTTAGGCCTATTCCTCCTGTTTTCACTGCAATTGTAGGCTGAATCTTCATCGTGGATCGTTTTTTACTTCAAGGACCTGTGTAATGGTTATTCCAGGCAAGTTTGGGGTGAGTTGCAGTTGCAATTAATGTGTAACGGGGACAAAATTGAACATTTTCCAAAATTTTTTGCCTATACTACAAGTTACGAGAAAAACTCGCTCCAGCCCTAGATGACAACCCAATGATAAAACTCAGGGCTGGGTAACTCCAGCTAGTGCATGCTACAGTCATGACAGTCGTTTTCCTAGTTCCGGATTTTTCCTAGTTCCGGATCGCTTCAAATAAACACCTACCTCTTTTTGATTAGTCTCCAATAAAAAAAATTCTGCCGGAGTGCATTTTGAAAAGGAAAATGTAAGCTTCTTGATACCCACAGATCTTTTCGATAAAATCTTTAGAAAAAGAATTTTGGCCAGATTTCCGACTCGCACTCCGACATGTTTGGACGGTTTAAAGAAAATCAGGGGAGCTGCGAATCGATGATAAATTTTCTCCTCGGTATATCTCTTGTACCGTGTAGTTTCGAATATTTTTTTCAATCACTACAATCGTATAAACTCTTCCATCGAATGTTTGTTCAATCAAATAAGTTGTAACGTCTCTAATATTTGAAAATTCGCCAACGAATGACCGTATGCTTTTGCCTAGTTCCGGATCGCGCGTGCACATACGACCCAACTACATGCGCGTTAATCAATTTTGTGTGACGTACTTCTGTGCCGCAAGGTTCTCGGTCTGTGCGGAGTTCATGCCGTTGCGCTGCAGACAAAAGTTTCAAAATTATTTACGTTAGGCCTAATTCTCTTTTGAAAATTTGCTGGAATTCTCTTGAATGAACTTTTTGGAAAATTAAATAATACTTTATCAGAAAATGTGTTTGTTTCTGGGTGGTTCTGGCCGAAAAATAGATTTTCTCGCGTGATTTTTTTTTTTCGCGCGAATCAGTTTTTGATCGATCCGGAACTGATTGAACCGATCCGGAACTAGGAAAAGCGTTGTATACACGATACAACGCCACGCTCTTGTATCATTTCGAACCTAGCGAAATTGATCTGCGGTACATCGTTTCGTATGCAGGTTGAGTACTTACTTAGAAGTCTATATATTTGCCTTCACGTGCGTTCAGGATGTGTCATTTGGAAGAAATTTGCCAAAAATGAAGACCCATACGAACCTGTAGAAATCAGATTTTAACGTTAATTGGACAAGTACCCAGGGTCACTTGCGTGCCAAATTGTTGGAACCCTCCGAGCTACCCGTCTGCTTCATGTGACGCATGAGCTCTACTGAGTGGAGGGTTGAACTACGGTACCCTCCGTACTAAACGCTCCACCGATTTGGCATACTTTGGTGACATGTACACGCCCGGTATGCATTTTGTGGGTAATCCTTACCTTTAGGACCCCGTTCCTATATAAGGTTAAAAGACTCACCAAAACAGCTGACTAAATGACACTCGAGAGTGACATTCTGATATTTCTTGACACATTTGATTTTGAACAGTTGGCAATGACACCTTCTTGAATATCAGCAGGTTTAATTTTGTAGAAAGAGGGCAGGGATTTGATTTATGAGGGGTTAAAGACGATGATGACAAACAGAAAATATATTAAAAAAGCAAGATGGCAAACTGCAAAATAAGGTAGAAAAGTCACATTTTCTTTGAAAGTGCTTTCAAAATTATAACTAACATGAGTTTATCTGAGAAAAAAAGACTGCTTTAGCCTGCAAAAGTCACTTTGGTACTGGACAGTCATCTGCAAAAGTCAGTTTTGAACAGAACTCATAAAAATAGAGGTGTCCTAAAGATAAGTATTACCATTTTGTGCATTCCCTCGCGAGGACAAAAGGCCAAAAAAAACTGGTAAATTAGAGAATACAAATGAGAAAGACAGTAACCCTGGATAGATCCACCACATTCATGACATTCCATAAGACCCCTTAAATTGTTCCAAACAACCGGTAATTTTGAAAAAAGAACAAAATATTCTGAACTTACCGCTCACAATTAAATGTGTCTGCCGAGTTGTGCAGTCCATTTCACTGACATGACTGAAATCGATCATCGAGCGCGTGTGTGACGTCACTATTGAAGAAAAACAAGTCGCGCTTAATCAACGGCTGTTTCATGTAGTCGTAGTGTCCCACGCCATCTGACAGTATGGGCTTTTGGCGCCGAGCTCATATCAGTATACAAAACAGTCGTTGATTAAGTGAGACTTTGGATTTTCTTCAATAGTGACGTCACACATGCGCTAGATGATCGATTTCAGTCATGTCAGTGAAGTGGACTGCACAATTCGGCAGACACATTTAATTGTGAGCAGTAAGTTCAGAATATTTTTTTTTTTTTTAAATTACCGGTTGTTTGGAACAATTTAAGGGGTCTTATGGAATGTCATGAATGTGTGGATCTATCTTTCTCATTTGTATGCTCTTTACCAGTATTTTTTGGGGCCTTTTGTCCTCGCGAGGGTATGCACAAAATGCATACTGTGTACCTGTCACCAAAGAATGCCAAATCGGTGGAGCCTTAGTACGGAGGGTACCGTAGTTCAACGCTCCACTCAGTAGAGCTAGTGACGCACATGATTATGGTTGTTGCTTGGACAGATTGACGGCTGTTTCATTTCGCATCCTAGATCCTGTGGGGAGGACGGCTTCTACATCCTTTTTGTCCATAAGAAGACCTCTGGATTGGGCCAAAAAAAAATACTTCTGCTTCTGGTTACCCGACCGACCTTATTTTTAGGCTGCAACCCTAAAAAAAATTTAGGCTGCGACACTTAAAAATTTTAGCGGCAATTCCAAAAAAAAAAAAATTAATAATGATTAAATAAATACAAATAAAAGCTTCTTGTCTTTTTTGTCTTCACAAAATACCTCTCAACAACCCTTTTCCAACAAAAAATGCTTGTATTTATTTGTTTTCTTATTTACATTAGCTATTTAAAAAAAAAAGAAACCTCCCTTATTTTTATAACTTCGCTTTGCGATGTAACTACTTCACGGTGACTATAATCACGTTCGTAAACCTAGCTCAATGCAGCCACGACTGGTTCCCGCCGCGCCGTGCAGGGGCCAATCTAGAAGACGTGATGAAAATGCGGCTGTACATGTACAAGTTTCGGACAGTGTCCTGCATGTATACATTGTACATGATGTACTTGCAGGGTGGATCTATTTGTGTGGAAAAGCCACCCAAAATGAAAAGCTTTTTTTAAAGGGTTGGAGATGCCCAAAATAAGTTTGCGGTGTTTGCGGTTGCACCATGTGATTAAAGGAAATTTCTTTAGTTTGGTTCTTAACCAGTTCTCGCCGGACGACGTGTATACACGCAATGGTTTGCAGTATTTGGAACAGATGACGGATAAACACGCAGGGAGTGAGGCCGGAAATACATACATCAGCACCCCGCTCGCACTCGCAGCGATCGAGGCCAGAAATATCATGAGTGTGCTTCCTGAGGGTGATGGCTTCAACCCGCCTGGCATGAGGTCTAGTGAAAGTAATCCCGCGCCTCGTTCCGTTCTTGTCAAAATAGTCCCTGCGTGAACTGGTTAAAAGATATGTAAGCTATATATGATGTATATTAATTTGTTAATCATGTATGTACTTTTTGTTTGTTCTTTCCCTTGCAGACAAGAATGAAGGAAACGCAGCACGGATGTACTTGCGGCATAGACCGAAATTTTACATGTTGGAGAATATTTTCAGGTAAAATCTGTTTTAAATACTTTTAAAGTGTTTGGATATTAACCAGTTCATGTCGGATGACGTGTATACATACAGGCAAAGGTTTGGCGGTATTCAGAACGGATGACGGATCAACACACAATGAGTGAGGCTGGAAATATCTGTCAGCGACCGGCTCGCAGCGAGCGAGGCCGGAAATATCTGGGTGTGCTACCCACAGATGACGGCCTGAACCCGTCTGACATCGAGGTTCGTGAAAAACTTTCATGTGCCTGGGTCCAGTCGATGTCAAAATAATCCCGGCGCGAACTAGTTAATGTTTGTTTTTTTCTGGTTATTTTTAGGCCTGCAAATATATGTTATTTGTCATACATGTACCGGTACATTAATCCTAACTCCCTAGCGTCTTTTACTAGGAACTGGACCAAGTCTATCAAAATCCATCAATCACTGTGCATCCAATACAAAACTGTATATGACATAATGGAATCCACCACTGACACACTGGTTGACATTCATGGACTTGCTACACATGGCTTTTATGCCAATAGCACAGGAAGCTAGGCAAAATCAATCGGATACCCCTAGCACTGCTTCAGGCCATTAGGCCCAAGTCCATCATACTCCATCAATATTTAGTCACGCCAGGCCTTCTGGACCAAGTCCCCCAAAATCCACCAAAATGGGGGGGGGGGGGGGGGGGGGATTTTGATGTAGTTTGGGTGGTTAGGGTTAAGCAGTGATTCTCTTTTGATAACAATTTCAGTCACTCTAAAAGCTTGTGTACACATGTACCTGTACCAGTACATACATGTACATGTGTATTTAAAAATACTACTAGTAGTAAACTGTAGTATGCAGTACTTTAGCATATAAGTGAGCACAGCACTCATAGTACTTTCTAGTATTTGGGTACCTGCATACATAATTTTTGTAGTACTTTGTAGTATGTGGTACTGTACTCCAAATGAACTCTTAGGGGGTTAGGGTTAAAGGGAATATACAACATTTGCAAACATTGGAAAACAAAACTACCAAATTTTTACGAAATAGCTTACTAGGATGTTGGTAAATGACAGTCTAAAGCATCCTGTAAAATTATGGCACCTGGTGTGAAGTCATTTTCAAGAAAAGTGGTATTTTGTATAAATTTCCAATGGTGGTCGTCCGACCACCGTTGGGAAAACCTAACTATTTTTCAACTACTGCTCCAAATTTACCATTTTTTTTCAATCCAAATTTTGTTTGCTATTGATTACATGTTCATGAACAGGTGCAGGCCAGCTAGACTGGTTTCCTTACCTTACAAGTTTCCGGCGTCTGTAAATGATTCATTTCATCTTAAGTGGAGTCAGAGAACCAGACTACTTGAACATTTTCTTGGTTTTTCCAGCATTTTCGAACACAAAACTTCAAACTTGTCAGTGTAACAATATTTGATATATTATACTAACCCCTCAAATAGTTCATTTCTGAAAATTACAGCAAAAGCCAATGATGTACATTCCCTTTAATAATCTGTGACATTTAGGTAATTGATGCCAAATTACTGACAACAGATGTTTCAAGTTCCCAATAATTTGCTCTCCTTTCAGAACATTGGTCTTGACTTTTTTAACTGAGTACATGTAGCTTTTGTCTGGTCTTCATCCCATTTCTTTTTGAGTTTTGAGAGTTTCATGCATGGAATTTCTGAGGTTTATGGCTCAAGAATTTTTTGTCACTTCTTGTGTCTTCAAAAAGGAAGGCTTCATTGTCACCATTATAGTTCCTCCTACTGTTGTCTTCAAAATTTCCAATTTTTCAATACCCCATGGAGCTAAAAAAAAAAACTGTGTTGCATCGACTAGAAGGCAGGGTGAGATTTGTCAAGCTTTTTTTCCTGATATTTCCTGATTTGTGGCTCTGAATTTTGTCACGATTTGTCCTAATTTCAGGATTTTTAACAATCCCCAGATAAATTCCTCAGGTACAAAGGACAGATACTCATAGCCCTCGGTGACCCTCAAACTTTCTGCCAATTATTTTGTGGATTTTTTTCATGTTTCCTCCCCCCCATGTATCTAAACCAATTACAACAAGAGGGTTAATTGAACTGGAATTTTGGTAACCAAATTAAAAATTTAAACGGAATAGCTGACACACAATGATCAGTTCACCCTTCAAATGTTTGATCGGTCACAGACAGCCAAAAAATGCTTCCAGGATACTAAAAAACAGTCAGATCACATTTGTGTAAACACTGTGAGTGACTGGTCAAATTCTATCAACAGACAAAACAGGTAACTGGTACAAAAAGGTGCTGCAGGCATCAATCACCTCCAAGCATGGCATACATACATGTATGTACATGTACATGTACATGTACATGGCGAAGCAAGTGGATCATGCTATAATTGGTTCTTTTCCACAGGCGCTACAAATTGACAGTACTGCATACATACACAGAGCTCCATTACACAGCATTAGATGTCACACGACTACTGAATTCGTGGAACTGTCTAACAGTCTAACTTTGTGTCTGTTTTACTTAGCCTAGCAATAAGCATGCTTACTGTGCAACAAATACATGTTTTGTAAGTTTGTTAAAAATATCAGTTATCACTGTGCAATACATACATGTACATGTACGTGTGCATGTAAATTTATAGATTTACTGCCACCCGGAAAATAGCCAACATAGTCAAAACGTATGTGAAATAGGCCGTTTCCCAAAACTTGAACTTCAACCAGTTTAACATAACAAAGCCACAGAAACTGCCTACCACTGCATGTCACAGCATTGTAGGGGGTGGTGCTATTGTCAATAGGAGGTGTGTCTAGCACAAATACAGTACAAGCATAGTATGAGTGTGAATAAAGTCAGGGTGCTTTGCCGTACCAAGTACATTGTATGACACACATTGTCCTTTGCACAACTTACCATAGCAAAGCTGATGAAGCTAAGGAAAAGAAAGTTTTGTTTCCTATTACGTACATGTACGTGTACAATAAGAATCTGTGTTTTTTTTTACTCTAAATTTGTTATAGCCAGAAAAAGTGTGTGGGATGATGGTCGATTAAATTGTACTTTATTGAACAAAGATATTGACGAATCGGGAACTGCCATTATATACGGCTTGATAGTTCATATGGTAGACCACCGGAACGGCAATTCAGAGGTCACAGGTTCAAACCCCGCTCCAGTCAATTTCTTTGTTTCACTTTGAAAAGATTATGAAAATGTGGTTAGGAACTAATATTTTTTGTACTGAGAATCAAAATATTTTCCGAGATAAATTTACTTCCTGTTGTATTGTTGGTACATTTCACCCACATCGACATGTACAATGCTCCAATATACAAGGCCATTGTTGGTCTATTCTGTTCATGACCTTTTGCTTGGAATGATTCAGATTTTCCGAAAAATTGAACTCGTTAAGATCGTACAAATTTCCTTAAAAATTCCAAAAGTGCATTTTCAGGGGGAAATTCAGGCAGCATACATTTCTGTACCCATCATGGATACATTTTCTGTTGCCTTGCATAAAAAAAATGAAATTACCTTTTTTTTTCTGTAATAGGGATGGGAGGGATTTTTAAAAATTATGTTCATGTTCATACATGCTGTACATTGTAGTGGTACATGTACGTACAGTACAACCATGTACATGTACATGTACACTATTCCAGTACACGGTGAGTAAAAAAAAGCGGAACCCAAACACCAAAAAATGTATTTCATATTTAAAAAATATGAAGCACCAAAAATAATAATGAATGGAAAGCCAATTTCAAAAGCTACTTTTAGATGAAAAAATTACTGAAATTGTTCAATCCGTTCAAAGAATACGACCATTTAAACGCAATGACCCTAAAACCTGTCTCGTCCAAAAAATCAATTTATTGTGTGTTTTGACTGTTTGGAACAACAAAGAAAATGACACAGAATACTTGTTTCAACAACTGTCACCAACTGTAGCACACAATTTTTTGATTAACAACCCTGGTTAGGCAAACAATATGATTTATAAAATCTACTTTTTTAAAAGACAGGCCTTTAAAAGGACTTACATGTAGTTGCATATTGTTAACGTTTAAACTAAGATTTCATCGCTGGTGATGTTTGAAGACAATTGTGTCGACGATTGTTGAAATCGCATTTTTGGGACGAGACAGGTTTTAGGGTCATTGTGTTTGAATGGTGATATTTTTTTAACCCTAACCGCCCTGAATCCTCCAAAATCCTTTTTGCAAATTGGAGGAATTTGCAGGATTGAGGTTACATGGCAAAAGTGCGTTGCTGATTTCGGAGTACGCACTGTGTCAAGGTCTTGGGCCGGACCTTGTGTTGTTTATGCTCAGTCGTGCATAAATCTAGTCCTTGATTATACTTAACATCCTCCGCACTGCTCCAGGATGTCACTGCCTCTGCCTCAGCCTATTGACAGACATAGCTGGAGGATTTTGCAGGATTCAGGCAGTGGTCATCCCCCCATGGACCATATTCAAGAAATAACGGAGGAATTTGCAGGATTGAGGTTATATGCTATTTTTCCATGAGGCCAATTGGAGGATTTTGCAGGATTGAGGCTACATCCTAGCAAAAAGGCCTAGGGAGTTAGGGTTAATTAACGGATTGACCAATTAATTATTTTTTCATCCAAAAGTTGCTTATGAAATTGGCTTTCCAGTCATTATTTTTTTGGTGCTACATATTTTTATGCCCCGCGGCGAAGCCGAAGGGGCATACTGTTTCCGCCTTGTCCTTCCGTGGGTGGGTGGGTGGGTGGGTGGGTGGGTGGGTGTGTGGTGTGTGTGTGTGTGGGTGGGTGTGTGGGTGTGTGTGTCCGGACAAATCTTGTCAGCGCGATAACTTGAGAAATACTTAACATATGAACTTCAAATTTGGTTTGTGGATTGTTCTTGGTAATCCTAAGAAGCCTTTCGCATTTGGGGCCAAAAGGCCAAAGGTCAAGTTCACAGTGGCTAAAACAATAGAAATCTTGTCAGCGCGATAACTTGAGAAATACTTTACATGT